AAAAACCCTTTTATCCCAATGGTCTAGTGGTTGGGATTCTGACACCATTCCGATGCCGTCAAAATTCTTTCAATTTTACATGTGCTGGCGAACACCGCCAATGTTGGGTCAAACCGAGTCTGAGTGTGTTCTGTGCTGTGTTTGTCACAAGAACACGGTATTTAGAAAAGCTTATACATACCGTATGGCCCCGGATATAGGCGCCGTCCGATTAATGGCGCCGGCGCTTCTATCTGGAGCATGGCGCTTATGGCCAAAACTCAATTATAAGCGCCCCCCCTGGAAAACCTTTACTTATTATAAGCGCACGTACATTTTGAAATTATAAATTTGTTTAAAACGGTAACGAGTTTCATTTTCGCAGCGAGCCAAATTTCTTCTTCGCTTCGTTTGACTTGCGAATACCTGACTGGCTGCGCGTCCAATCAGGATGTGCTGGCATGCCTGCAAAGTGAGGTGAACTTGCTGGTGTGCAGGAAGCAGAATCGCTTGCGCGCGATTCTGCTTTGTGACGCTATATTATTTCGACTCGTTCGAAATGGCATCAATGAAAGGTACAGTTTGGTACCCTAAAATTATAAATTTGTACTTGTCATTATAAAAGCGCATGCGCTTATGCCCGAAACTCAATTATAAGCGCCCCCCCTTGAAAAAATCAGTTTTATTATAAGCGCATATGCGCTACTATCCGGGGTGATACGGTAGTATCTATTCAGCAATGTATAATGCATACAAGTTTTATTTGTCGCCGCATGGTATATGTAAATTATGTGTAACACTTTTCAAAATTGTGTATTGTGAAAGTGTAGCGATTGTCAAACATATATGCTTAGTTATATCTAGGCTTAGTTTATGTGTTTACAGTTGTCTAGGCTATAGTGGGTTTAGCCTTAGGGGGTACAGTTTTCTCTCGACATTCTACTTGTACCCCTCGTCACTTCCTAGTAAACCATTCTCGCCTATTATTCTCACATGGTATTAAGAGCACTACCTTCCTAGGATCCTAAAATTAATGGGCCCACCACCTAAGTAACTGCTAGCCTAGGCCCCGTGGCGTCGCCCATAGCCCCTAGGCTCGGCCCCTCGGCCCGTCGCCCCTAGGCTCGGCCCCTTGGCACGTCGCCCCTAGGCTCGGCCCCTTGGCCCGTCGCCCCTAGCTCGGCCCCCCTTGGCCCCGTCGCCCCGTCGATTTCGTCGCCCGCGCCCGGCCCATTCCTAGCCTCGCGATCGGCCCGTACCTAGCCTCGCGCACGGCCCCGTTCCTAGCCCCGCGATCGGCCCGTACCTGCCCCGCGATCGGCCCTTACCCTTCCCGCGCTCGGCCCCGTTCCTAGCCCCGCGCCCGGTCCGTACCTAGCCTCGCGACCGGCCCGTACCTTGCCCGCGCACGGCCCCGTCTCTCGTCCGCGCTCGGCTCGTACCTAGCCCCGCGCCCGGCCTGTACCTAGCCCAGCGCACGGCCCCGACCCTAGCCAGCGCCCGGATCCGTACCTAGCCCGCGCCCGGCCCTGTCTGTCGCCAGCGCCTGGCTCCGTACCTAGCCCGCGCCCGGCCCAGTACCTAGCCCGCGCCCGGCCCCGTACCTAGCCCCGCGCCCGGCCCCATTCCGCGCCCAGCGCCCGAGCCCGTACCTGCCCAGCGCCCGAGCCCGTACCTGCCCAGCGCCCGGCCCCGTACCCGCCCAGCGCCCGGCCCCATACCTGCCCAGCGCCCGGCCCCGTACCTGACCTGCGCCCGGCCCCTTGTTTGGCCCCGTGGCCCCCGGGCCCCTTGTTTGGCCCCGTGGCCCCCAGGCCCCTTGGTTGGCCCCTCGGCCCCCTAGGCCCCTCCCCCCCCCCCCCCCTAGGCCCCCCGGCCCCTTGTTTGGACCCGCGGCCTCTGGTTTGGCCCCTCGGCCCCCCCTAGGCCCCCCGGCCCCCTGTTTGGCCTTGCGGCCCCTAGGCTCCTCGGCCCCACCTCACATCACGGCGCCTGGCCCCCCAGGCCCCTTGTTTGGCCCCTCGGCCCCATAGGCCCCTCGGCCCCCCTCGGCCCCCCTCGGCCCCCCCGGCCCCTTGTTTGGACCCGCGGCCCCTAGGCTCATCGGCCCCACCTCACAGCACGGCGCCCGGCCCCCCCCGGCCCCTGGTTTGGCCCCTCGGCCCCCCCTAGGCCCCCCGGCACCTTGTTTGGCCCCGCGGCCCCTAGGCTTCTCGGCCCCACTTCACAGCACGGCGCCCGGGCCCCCAGGCCCCTTGTTTGGCCCCTCGGCCCCCTAGGTCCCTCAGCCCCCCTAGGCCCCCCGGCCCCTTGTTTGGCCCCGCGGCCCCTAGGCTCCTCGGCCCCACTTCACAGCACGGTGCCCGGGCCCCCAGGCCCCTTGTTTGGCCCCTCGGCCCCCTAGGCCCCTCGGCCCCCCTAGGCCCCCCCCCCGGCCCCTTGTTTGGCCCCGCGGCCCCTCCGCTCCTCGGCCCCACCTCACAGCACGGCGCCCGGCCCCCCCGGCCCCTGGTTTGGCCCCTCGGCCCCCCTAGGCCCCCCGGCCCCGCGGCCCCTCGGCTCCTCGGCCCCACCTCACAGCACGGCGCCCGGCCCCCCCGACCCCTGGTTTGGCCCCTCGGCCCCCCTAGGCCCCCCGGCCCCTTGTTTGGCCCCGCGGACCCTAGGCTCCTCGGCCCCACCTCAAGGCACGGCGCCCGGCCCCCCCGGCCCCTGGTTTGGCCCCTCGGCCCCCCCCTAGGCCCCCCGGCCCCTTGTTTGGCCCCGCGGCCCCTAGGCTCCTCGGCCCCACCTCACAGCACGGCGCCCGGCCCCCCCCGGCCTCTTGTTTGGCCCCTCGGCCCCCTAGGCCCCTCGGCCCCCCCCCCTAGGCCCCCCGGCCCCTTGTTTGGCCCCGCGGCCCCTAGGCCCCTCGGCCCCACCTCAGAGCCCGGCGCCCGGCCCCCCGGCCCCTTGTTTGGCCCCTCGGCCCCCTAGGCCCCTTGGCCCCCCCTAGGCCCCCCCGGCCCCTTGTTTGGCCCCGCGGCCCCTAGGCTCCTCGGCCCCACCTGACAGCACGGCGCCCGCCCCCCCCCCCCCCCCCCCCGGCCCCTTGTTTGGCCCCTCGGCCCCCCTAGGCTCCTCGGCCCCCCCTAGGCCCCCCGGCCCCTTGTTTGGCCCCTCAGCCCCCTAGGCCCCTCGGCCCCCCTAGGCCCCCCCCCCGGCCCCTTGTTTGGCACCGCGGCCCCTAGGCTCCTCGGCCCCACCTCACAGCACGGCGCCCGGCCCCCCCCCCCCGGCCCCTTGTTTGGCCCCTCGGCCCCCTAGGCCCCTCGGCCCCCCCCTAGGCCCCCCGGCCCCTTGTTTGGCCCCGCGGCCCCTAGGCTCCTCGGCCCCACCTCAGAGCCCTGCGCCCGGCCCCTATGGCGTCGCTTCGAGTTCTCCCGTTCGACCCGGAGGGCAGACCTGTAGCATTTGACACGTGGCACGACGATCTACAACTGTACCTACTGAGCGATAGTCGGGACAGTGTCTCACTGTTTGACCACGTGTCCGGTGCCGCTCCAGCCCCTCCCGCCACAGCTGACGTTTCGACTCGTTCCCAGTGGCTATCTCGTGACGCTACTGCCCGCTTGGCCATTCGCAACCACCTGCCCGCAACAGAATGTGCTCACTTTGGCGAGCACAGGACAGCACAGGCCTTGTACGACGCTGTCGTTGCTCGCTACTCCTCCCCTGCCACTGCTGCTATTGGCAGGCTGCTACTGCCCTACCTGTTCCCTAAGCTGTCCGCTTTTGCCACAGTAGCCGACCTGGTTACCCACCTGCGCACTAGCGACGCTCGCTACCAAGCTACCGTCCCTGCTGAGTTCCTTCCCACGAACCAGCCCCCCATGTTCATCACCCTCTACTTCATAGTCACTCGCCTCCCTGACTCCCTTCGCTCAGTCTGGGACCACTTCCTCACCCTCGACCCCACTTCCTGTTGTGCCAAAGTACTATAGTGGCACGGTCATCGCACTCCCATTCCGCCTACAAGCCTTCTCAGCTTCTGGAATTTTGTGGGGTGGTGCTTCAACATGTGTTCTTCAAACCCTCAAAGTTTCAGAATTTTTGAAGCAGTTTACAAGGCATGGCAACATTTTTAGTTTCAAGACTTATGGCATCCCGGAAGTGTGTGTTACTCTTTTTTGGTAACACCCGAGTTCACCATTTCGGCTGCTGACTAATCTACCGAGCTCTGATTGGTCTGAAAATCGGTGTGGCAGTCCTTTGCCATGTTGTGCAGGTGTTCACCGAGTTTCAGGACAACTCAGCATCGGAGCAGCACGTGACAGCTGTCGAAAGTTACTGTTCCGTAGTCATGGTGCACTGTTGGCAGCATTTCCCTTGCCACCCTTTCATTGTTGTCATGCCAATGGTGCAGGGACAGAGAATGAGACAAGAAGTACAGGTGGTCAAGTGGGACTCTACCACCCTCCTTTTGAGAAGTGTGGTCTTCCTGGTAGCAGCTTGCAAGAGGGTGCAAGTGGGAAGACAAGCTGACTCATGGTTGGCTTGACTCACTATTGGTAGCCTTGAGTACAGCTCTGAACATCCAAGTGTGGTTGGCTTTGCTGACCTAGCTAGGACGTTTCCCATCCTTCTCTAGCCTTTCTCCCCTAGGACTCAACCTTCTCTGAGTTCCCAGGATGGTCCCAACCCCTTAAGAGTCCCCTAGGCAATGTTGTACTCAACCTCTTCCTTGCATCAATGAAGCTACTCGTTTTTCAGCCGAGCTTACGTTTTTGTTCACTGCGTAGCGCATACACCTCTGATGAAAGCAAGCCATATACCGTTGGAAAGCAGACACCTGAAGCTAACGTCTGTTCAAGTTTCAGCCTCGTTTGTTATCGGAGCTGATCGTGACGGCGTTTTGAACAGAGGCGGTTCGAAGTCGTCAGATTCTGCTTAGGTGGTTTCAAGGGCATCTACGACTCCTAAGTGGACTCTAGACTATAACAAGTGGTATCAGAGCGGTTCTTCTCTGTTCCTGGGTCAATATGGAGGCTGAAGGTTCTGCTCCAGCTGGTCCTAGTGGCAGTGGTGGCGTGAGAGGCGCTGGGGAAGCAGGAAGAGGCGTTGTAGGCGGATCTGCACCAATAGCATCCGTTTCAACACCAGCCAAGGATGATGTGAAGGCATTCAACCTAGAGAAGTTCTCTGGGGAGGATTGGGCATCATGGAGCTTCAGGATGGAGCTCCTATTTAACCATTATGGGCTGCTTGAAGTGATGGATGGAGAATTGAAGAGGCCTGCGAGCGAAGGAGCGACCAAGGAATGGGATCGCCGATCCAAGGATGGATTCAACCTTCTCTCTCAATGCCTCTCATCCAACCAGCTGCACCACGTCAAGCATCTCATCAAGGATATCCAGTGTGGTCCCAAGGCATGGAAAATATTGAAGGATGTCCATGCCCCCAGCAGCGAAGCGATGGTGGTGGTGCTCGAACAACAACTCCATGCGGTGAAGATCAACGAGGGTGATGCCGTGCAAGGAGCGTTCGATCAACTCCGGGACCTCTATGTGAAGCTCTCTGCTGCTGGTGTGGACTACCCTGAAAAGATCAAGTGCTACAAGGCTCTCTCCCTGCTGCCGGATTCGTGGGGCCCCTTGGTGGTCAACCTCAATGGCATGAAGGACTCATGGTCCCTTGAGTGGATTCGTGCTCAAGTCCTTCAAGAGGAGTTTCGGAGGAAGGAGCTGACTGCCGCTGCCGGTGAAGGTGGAGGCTCTGCCTATGGCATGAAAGGCTTCAAGGGACGTGGCAGCAAGAAAGGCAAGGCCAAGGAAGGCTCTGGAGGGGAGCAGTATTCGGGAGGGAAGCGTAGCAACAAGGGAGGCAAGCGGTGTGGCGGCAAGTGTTGGTATTGCCATGTGGAAGGTCACCCATGGTTTAAGTGTCGCAAGCTACCTGATGGTTGGAGGCCTGGTCAGCCATCAATTGAAGGCTCTAAGGGTGTTCATGGAGCTATGGGAGAAGGCATGGGCAGTGAGGAGGGCGATGGAGGTGCCGGCGGACATGGCGGCATGTTCTACCATGTAGGAGAGGCATGCTCCGAGGATATGGTTGTACCGGCCAGCAAGGTTGCTCTTCACCGTTCCTCCCATTGGGTCATCGACACGGGAGCCTTCATGACCATGACCAACCGAGAGGATCTGCTGGATGAAGTCAGGCCATCAAAGGCAGCCACCGTTGTTTCAGCCACCGGCCAAGTTGTACCCGTGCGTGGCGAGGGGAGAGCCATGTTTATGGGTGCGGATGGGAGGCTTGTGGGGCTGAAGCGTGTTCTCCTTGTCCCTGGACTATGTGCCAACCTTCTCTCTACCGAGGCAAGGATGAAGATGGAGATGATGGGCACAAAGGTGTTCAAGGCAACTCTGGATGGGCGCGTGTTGTGGGACCTCCGAGGCGGCAAGGACATGCGCCGGTCCATGTGGGAGATACCGGTGCTGCCATGGAAGGAGGCGGCTGCGCGCTTGGCTGCTGAAGCTGTAAGAGGAGGGCATGCAAGCCACGTAACCAGTGGAGGAGGTGGTGATGGCAGTGATGGTGGGCTGCTTGTGCATGGGGGGGGTGCTCTACCAAGTGTAACTCCTAGCACGGGTGAGACGGATTGGCTCACCGCACACCGTCGCTTTGGCCACGTGGCGCTACCTCAGTTACAGCAGCTGTTTAAGGAGGAAAGAGTCAAGGGGCTGAGGATAAAGGGGGAGCCCAAGGAGGTGGGCTCTTGTGAGACTTACTTGACCAGCAAGTTCTCACGATTTCCCTTCCATTCGACGGTGGGGCAGTCAAGTGACCCGGTGGAGCTCGTGCATGTGGATCTTGTGGGGCCCATGAAGGTGAAGGGAGATGGTGGAGCCCTGTATTCCATGACTATGGTGGATGATTACACAAGGCTCACCTGGTCTTTTCCACTTGCAAAGAAGAGTGATGCTGCAAGGGTCATCATTGAAGAGTGGCTGCCCATGGTGGAGCGAGAGAGCGGCAAGCGGGTGAAGGCGATTCGTAGCGACCGTGGTGGAGAGTTTTTGGGAGCGGAGTTCCGGAGCTGGTTGAAGCGGCATGGCATCAAGCAGCAGCTCACCACGGCCTACACCCCTCAGTCCAACGGCGTGGCAGAGAGAGCGAACCGGACCATCATAGAGGGCGGGAGAACGATTTTGGTGGACTCGGGTCTACCCTTGCGGTTCTGGCCCCTCGCTATTCGTCATCCTACCGTCATCAAGAACCGGGTGTTGACTCATGTGGGAGGTCAGCATTGGGTCCCTATGGAGAAGTGGAGTGGCAAGAAGCCCCTGGTTGATATGCTTCGTGTCTTCGGGTGCATGGGGCTCGTGCATGTCCCTAAGGAGAAGCGTGACAAGCTTCAAGCGGCGGCGGTGTGGGCTGTTCATTTGGGTCTTGCACGGGGGAGCAAGGGCTGGCTCATATGGGACCCAAAATCCAACACCATCTTCACCACCAGAGATGCCAAGTTCATGGAGGGGCTCATGTTCAAGGAGTGGTCGGAGCGGGGGAGGAGCAAGGTCACCATTCCGCTTGGAATAGAGGTGGGAACCAACGACCCACTTCTCATTCCCATCGAGTTGTCCTCATCTTCAGAGTTGACAGAGGTGTCACATGACTTGGGAGGTGCTGAAGGGGAGGCAGCAGATGTGGAAGAAGTACTACAGCAAGGGGAGGCCCCTATAGCTGAGAGAGGTGATACCGAGGAGGAGGTGCAGCAGCCTACACCATCCCCTAAGCTTCCACCAAGGCGCACAACCCAAGGGAAGCGTGATGCTGTCCGTGGTGGAGCCAAGGAAGGAGCAGCCAAGGAGAGGCCCAAGAGAGCTGCCCACCCAAGGGATTTCCTCAAGTATGAAAGGCTTGGGGTTCCCAAGGCATTGCTGGTCCAAGAGGAGGGTGAGGTGTTGGAGTACGAGTTGCAGCGTCGGTTCCAGTCAATGGTGGGGAGCTTGATGTACGCTTCGGTCAACACTCGCCCCGACATTGCGTTTTCAGTTTCACAGCTCGCTCGTGTGGTGTCTAGGCCCCTTCAAGAGCACCTGGATGCAGCAGAGAGGCTGGTGAGGTACTGCATGGCAACCTCAAGGGTGGGGCTGCAATATTCAGTGCATGGGCAGCTGAAGCAAAAGGGAGTGGAGGAGGTGAGCACAAAGACTGGTGCACCTGCAAGGCGTGGGCACTTGTACCTCTCGTGTTTCACCGATGCTACCTGGGCAAGTGACATCAGTGATGCTACATCCCATGGTGGCTATATATGCTGTGTTGGAGGGAGTCCAGTGAGCTGGAAGTCTAAGAAGCAAGGAGAGATAGCTCACTAATCAACGGAGAGTGAGTACATGGCGTTGTTTCATGGAGTGAAGGAGGTGGTTTGGATGAGGAGGTTGCTTGAGGAGTTGGGGCAGGAGCAAGAGGGTCCTACACCTGTGTTTTGTGACAGCCAAGGAGCAATTGCAATGGCACGTAATGCTGTGCTCCATGGGCTGAACAAGCACATGCATATCAAGTGGCATTGGGTGAGGAAGGAGGTGAAGAAGGGCACCATCTCCTTGCACTACATCAACACTACCAAGCAACCTGCGGATTTCTTGACTAAGCGGCTTGCAGAGCATCAGCATTGGAGCTGTGCCACATTGTGTGGCATGTCCTTCAACTAAAGGAGGCAGCTTCAGGGAGCAGCTAAGGGATGAATGAGAGCACGATGAGGGGGAGTTTGTTGTGCCAAAGTACTATAGTGGCACGGTCATAGAACTCCCATTCCGCCTACAAGCCTGCTCAGCTTCTGGAATTTTGTGGGGTGGTGCTTCAACATGTGTTCTTCAAACCCTCAAAGTTTCAGAATTTTTGAAGCAGTTTACAAGGCATGGCAACATTTTTAGTTTCAAGACTTATGGCATCCCGGAAGTGTGTGTTACTCTTTTTTGGTAACACCCGAGTTCACCATTTCGGCTGCTGACTAATCTACCGAGCTCTGATTGGTCTGAAAATCGGTGTGGCAGTCCTTTGCCATGTTGTGCCGGTGGTCACCGAGTTTCAGGACAACCCAGCATCGGAGCAGTACGTGAAAGCTGTCGAAAGTTACTGTTCCGTAGTCATGGTGCACTGTTGGCAGCATTTCCCTTGCCACCCTTTCATTGTTGTCATGCCAATGGTGCAGGGACAGAGAATGAGACAAGAATTACAGGTGGTCAAGTGGGACTCTACCACCCTCCTTTTGAGAAGTGTGGTCTTCCTGGTAGCAGCTTGCAAGAGGGTGCAAGTGGGAAGACAAGCTGACTCATGGTTGGCTTGACTCACTATTGGTAGCCTTGAGTACAGCTCTGAACATCCAAGTGTGGTTGGCTTTGCTGACCTAGCTAGGACATTTCCCATCCTTCTCTAGCCTTTCTCCCCTAGGACTCAACCTTCTCTGAGTTCCCAGGATGGTCCCAACCCCTTAAGAGTCCCCTAGGCAATGTTGTACTCAACCTCTTCCTTGCATCAATGAAGCTACTCGTTTTTCAGCCGAGCTTACGTTTTTGTTCACTGCGTAGCGCATACACCTCTGATGAAAGCAAGCCATATACCGTTGGAAAGCAGACACCTGAAGCTAACGTCTGTTCAAGTTTCAGCCTCGTTTGTTATCGGAGCTGATCGTGACGGCGTTTTGAACAGAGGCGGTTCGAAGTCATCAGATTCTGCTTAGGTGGTTTCAAGGGCATCTACGACCCCTAAGTGGACTCTAGACTATAACACTTCCCTCACTGTTGACCTCCTCGAGCAGCATCTCCTCGAAGCTGAGACTAGTGCACTTGCTGTAGATGCTGCTCGTGGCACCCCGCGCTCACCCTTCTTTGAGGGGTGCTCCCCCTCCCCCCTTTCCTCCTCCTTCGCCTCTGCTGCTGCTGCAGACGTCTCTGTTCCTGAGGACGTCGGTGCTGCTTCGACTAGTACGAAGCGCCGCAACAGCAAGGGCAAGGGTGGTCGGGGTAGTGGAGGAGGCAGCGGTGGTGGTGGAGGTGGCAGTGGGCGTGGTAGTGGGGGCAGCGGTAGAGGAGGCGGAGGCGGTGGAGGTGGTGGCGGTGGTGGGACCGGTGGCGGAGGTGGAGGCTCTGGTGGCGGCGGTGGAGTTAGCTGAGGGGGTGGCGGCAGTGGAGGCGGTGGGACCAGTGGTGGTCGGTCTGGACCTCAGCGTGGAGGCCCTGGTGGTGGTCGGGGCCAGCAGCAGCAGCGTCGGAGCGAGACTCAGACGCCCCAGCAGCTCCGTGAGTGGTTGGTTCAGCGTGGGGCGGGTGAGGGTAGTGAGACCTGCCCGTATGTCATTCGCACGGGTGCCCATGCGGGCCGGACATGCGGGAGGTTTCACACTGAGCGCCGCTGCTTTGCCCGCCTTGACGACGCCTGGTGCACTGAGTTTGGTGATGACGTCGAGCGCCCTCGCTGGGCGGAGTTGCTTAGGTCGGGAGTTGCTATCTTTGACCTAGACTTTGATGTTATTATCTCTGCCATGTATGCTTTGTCTTTTAGTGCTGAGTGTGACTGTTATTGGTGTGTGCCGCCTGACCCAGGTATAGCCGCTGCTGCTCTAGGTGCTAGTGCGTCAAGTACTCCCCCTGGTACTGCGCCTGCTGAGGCCATGCACACCTTCACGTTGGACTCCGGCGCCTCGCGCTGTTTCTTTCGTGACAGCACCACCCTCACTCCTCTTCCTGCACCTGTTCCGGTCAGACTGGCTGATCCCTCTGGGGGCTCGGTCGTTACCAGTTCCTCCACTATCCTCCCGTGTCCGGCGGTTCCGTCCGGCTCACTGTCAGGTCTTCACCTCCCCTCGTTCTCTACGAACTTGGTGAGTACCGCTGCCCTTCAAGATGCGATGGTCACTACCACCATTCCTAGGGGTCAGCGTGTGTCGATCTGCACGTGCACACGGACGGGGCGTCACCTGGCTACGTTCACTCGTCGGCCACGGTCGAGTCTGTACACACTGGCTCCCGAGCCTCCTCAAGTCGCTGCGTCTGCTTAGGTGTCCGCGTCAGGTCAGGTAGCCGCCTCTT